TCATGTTTGGGTCCCTCACAGAGCATTTACACAACGCTGTTTATATGGTTGACACTATATATACATGTATGTGACATGTTGACCTTGATGAGAACCTGCATAGGATTGTATGGCCAGATTGGTAATGGTTCAGAAGTCCCAGTGAATGGCTGTGTCAGTGATCGGGGTCAGCCTGTTTCAGTGATTTAGTAGGGAGACTTGCAGGACTCCACATTTTGTCATACTCACTGGCTGTGATTCATTCCAGCAAAAGGACAGAAAGCGAACTCAGCCAAGGGAGGAGGTACAAAGACTGAAGAAAGCCAGAGGGTGTCAGAGTCCTGTCTCCAGGAAGTCAGACAGGCTTAATTGGACGTTTGTCATAGAGTTAAGACAATTACTTAAAACATCTGCTAGAGAAGCTCCCTAGAGACTCTTCAGTACCTAGTGTTTTTGGAGGGGGTGGGGCTCTCCTAGCACGGGCCAAGTTCTAGGTTTCCAAAACAATACTTGGCATTCAATGCAAACCCCATTGTTTACACCAGAAACTCGGGCACACTGAGACACTCGTGTCTGGGCATGGTGCGAAACCTGACCTCTGAGGTCTCAAAGCCCAGCAAGGATAGGAATTCTCCGGCCTGCTGTGTTACAGCCTTATACAGACTGAACGGTACTAAAAGGCTGAATAGATTTCTGTAACAAAGCAAATACACTTCCTACAGCAACAATTACAGTCATTACTTCGAAAAAAGTCATTACTTCGGGGGAAAAAAAAAGTCATTGCTTTGGAGGCTTCTATGAACATAACCCCTGTAGCCAAAAAACCCTAAACACAGTAGAACTTACAGACTAACCAGGATTTAATTTAGTGATGACAAGGTACAGGGAAATCTGGTGAGAAGGGACTGGACTTCTTCCAAATACTGACCGTGTGTGTGTGTGTGTAAGTGTGAGTGCACACACATCACTTAGGACTCTATATATACACACATATGCATGTATATACCTGATAGGTGTATGTGAATTATGTGTGTGTGTGTATATGTGTGGCTCCAAGTGGTTGGACCTGCAAATAGACCCATTATTACCTTTATCTATAAAAATGTAAAGGCCAGATTGATGCCATGTGTTTTCTGTATTACATGTCAGCAATCTCTCATGTCCTTATTCCTGCTGTTCATACTCTAAGCGTCTGGCTTTAACGAACAGAAAACAGTATGTGTGTCGTTCAGGGCACCTAACTTGAGACTGGTGTATTGTGGGCATGGTCAGGTTGAGATCCGTCAGAGGGGGTGACTGGAAGGGAGTGGGAGCGATGGGCTCCAGCTGGGAGGGCCCGCTACAGAGACCAGATGCTGGAGGCCTGGGGGAGTCTGGCCCCTGGGAGTAGACGCAGCTCCCTCCGCGCTCAACCCCGGCCCACAGACGGCCTTTCCTGTCACAGTCCTAGATGCGGGGCTGCCTCTGGAAGGCTCAGTGATGTCATCCTCGGCCTGTCAGCTGCGTGCTCATAGGAGCTCACACGTCTCACAAGTAAATGGTCTGAGCTCGGTTGTAAATAGGCAACTGGTTTTTGCCCTCCTCGGAGCAGTGGAGAGTCAAGAGCATGGGCCCTCGAGACAGACTGCCGGGATCTACTTCCTGGCCTTGTTCCTAGCTGCTGGGGGCTTTTTAAAAGTCCCTGTTCATTCTGCTTCTCTCAATCTCTGCATCTAACAGCCATTGTCACAGTGAAGTTTTCCCACGTGGGACCTTGCCGCTGTGCAATCCACCACCCCCTCCCGGGTCCAGCCAGGCATCATCCCACACCTCAGCTTCCATTTACCTTCCGCTCTTCTCCCCAAGTCGATTCTCCACACTGAGCCAGAGATGTGGCCCCGACCTGGTCATGGAGGGCTCACCCCTGCCCCCTTCCCCTAAAATGTTTCGTGACTTCCCTTCACTCTTGGGATAAAAACCAAATGCTTAACATGGCCCATCCCTGGGGCCCTACCTGGTGTGGGATGTGCCTAATTTGCTACCTTTTGTCTTGCACAACTCTGGTCTCTCTTCACTTCCCGTTTCCCTCACTTTCCCACCTGCTGTGGCTTCTTCCGC